TTCCATTTTCGCCAGGCAGGTCATGTGTTGTAATCCCCTCATTGCAGTAGATTAAGGCATTAAAATGGCATTTCCCACACAATGAAGGATTTCACTCTTAATTACTGAGTGTGCCTCGTGGCCCAGATCACTCGCTTTTGAGTCTCCCCATGCCAAAATCCTCCATTTCCATCTTACGTTCATTTATTCTGAGTGTTTAGCATTTCCCGAAAAATCCTCTCAAAGGAGGGAAGTTTGCGCATTACAACAGCACAGCGTTTGCTTGGGATTTATCCTGTGGAGGGATCATCTGAATAAGCTTTCAGGGGTGTGATAATATCATAATTGTTTTTTCAGCGATGTGTGAGCTGATGTTATCAGGTATGTCACTCACGCCATATAAAACAAAACAAAAACATGTCTTGAGTGCCAAAAGCTTTGACTGTGTGATAAAAAGCTTATTAGAATACATTTAGAAAGATGCAGTGTTTCAAGCTTTAAGAGAAAGTTGTTGATTTTTGTGATTTATAAGATATGTCAAAGGTGATTATATTATATTATATTATATTATATTATATTATATTATATTATATTATATTATATTATATTATATTATATTATATTATATTATATTATTTCATATTATTTCATATTATGTTTTATTATATTATTATATTATATTATTTTATATTATGTTTTGTTATTATATTATATTATATTATATTATATTATAATAAATTATATTATATTATTATATTATAATATAATATTATATTATAATAAATTATATTATATTATTATATTATAATATTATATTATATTATATTGTATTATTTTATATTATTTTATATTATGTTTTATTATATTATTATATTATATTATAATTTATATTATGTTTTGTTATTATATCATATTATTTTATATCATATTATATTATATTATAATAAATTATATTATATTATTATTTTATAATATTATATTATATTATATTATTTCATATAATTTTATATTATGTTTTATTATATTATTATATTATTTTATATTATGTTTTGTTATTATATTATATTAAATTATATTATATTATATTTTAATATATTGTATCATATTACAATATTTATTATATTATATTATATTATATTATATTTAAATTACATTATACATTATATTATTATTATATTGTATTGTATTATATATTATTAATATTATATTATATTATATTATCTTTTATTATAGTATATTATCTTTTATTATATTATATTAAATTATATCATATTACATTATATTATATAAAACTATAATATGTTATATTACATTATATAAAATTATAATATATTATGTTATATTATATTATATTAAATTATATTATATTATATTATATAAAATTATAATAAATTAAGTTATATTATAATATGTGTAAATTATATTAAATTATATTATTCTTATATTATTCTTATGTTATATTATATTATAGTATTATTATATTAATATTATTATTTATAATAATAATATTATAATAATAACATAAAAAAGGATTTTACAGTGATAATTTAACATTAAAAAATGAACATTCTGTCGTCATTTACAGTACTCACACTTTCCATGTTCCATTCTATATTGAGTTTTGTTTTCGCATTCTGTCAATCACGAAATAAGGTAATTTGACGAATATTGGAAACCTTTAACTATTGGTGTTCCATAGTAGGAAAAAATACTATGAAAGTCAATGGTTTTAAACATTCATCAAAATATCTTCCAAAGGTTTATTTTTTGGGTGAACTATCACTTTGACCATAAAGAAAACCCTCAAACTGGTTTGAAACAAGTAAAGTTTGAGTAAATAATGACATCGTTTTTGGATGATCAGTTCCTTTAATTATCATTATTAGAATTTTTTTTGGTGTCAATATCGCACGCCTCTACTTCCAGTCCATTTTCTATGAGGGAAATGGCAGTTCATTCCCTATTCAAATGGAGCCGTTAGAGTCATTTGTGAGCGGCCGGGTTACGTGGGTAATGAAGCTGGTGTGAATGTTAATCTTGAATAAAAAGCTCACAGCAGGAGCCACTCTCTCCTGGGCGCTGGATATGAACACTGCTACCTCTGTCTGAAACACACAAGATGTATGGGCTCCTTTTATCTGCTACTTGAATAATTGGGTTGAGACACGCTAAAGGTCAGCCGCTGATCACCGGAGCGCTTCCTTTTATATCTGTGCAACAGATCGCCATACTTCGCTGGCCTTTCGTTACGATTTATGATTGAAATGTCCGGAAAGCCTCCGTGCTGCTTGCAGTCAAGATTCTGAGGATGTTCAAGGGGAATGACATATGGTTGTCCTTTTAAAGGGATTTATAAAATCTCGTCTGGTCGTACAGCTTTGTGGGTTTCGTCCATTTATATTTGTAGTTAGTGTTTTGTGCACTTATGATATGTATATATAATCAATTGCAGTGTTAGCCTAGAAGTTACTTTTTATAAAAGCATCTAGTAAACAAGCATATTTAAATTGTAAATGTAAAATTCAGCAGCTGATAAAAAAAGCATATGTAGATTTACTGTATGATGCTGCTTATAGTTGACTCTACTACTGTGTTAAATTATTCATGTATCTTAAATATGTATATACACTTACCGGCCACTTTATTAGGTACACCTTACTAGTACCGGGATCAACCCCTTTTGCCTTCAGAACTGCCTTAATCCTTTGTCGCATAGATTCAACAAGATACTTGAAATAATCCTCAAAGATTTTTGCTCCATATTGACATGATAGAATCACACAGTTGCTGCAGATTTGTCAGCTGCACATCCATGATGTGTATCTCGCGTTCCACCACATCCCAAAGGTGCTCTATTGGATTGAGAGCTGGTGACTGTGGAGGCCATTTGAGTACATTGAACTCATTGTCATGTTTAAGAAACCAGTCTGAGATGATTTACGCTTTATGACAATGGTGCGTTATCCTGCTGGAAGCATCCATTAGATGATGAGCACACTGTGGTCATAAAGGGATGGACATGGTCATCAACAATACTCGGGTAGGCTGTGGTGTTGACACGATGCTCAATTGGCACTAATGGGCCCAAAGTGTGCCAAGAAAATATCCTCCACACCATTACAGCATCCTGAACTGTTGTTACAAGGCATGATGGATCCATGCTTTCACATTGTTGATGTCAAAAAAGGAAAAACAACTCATCATTCTGTCTTTTTCCCTCAGCTCAGAGTATATTTAACACAAATCTGGCATTTTTCCCCTCTGAAATTTAGAAAACGTACTATTTTTGATTTAAATCAAGTTTCAAAGTTCAAATAAAGATATATACAGTATACAAGAGAAGTCAGAATTATTAGCCCCCCTGTTTATTTTTCCCCATTTTTTTAATGGAGAGAAAATTTTTCTCAACACATTTCTAAACATAATAGTTTTAATAACTCATCTCTAATAACTGATTTATTTTATCTTTGCCATGATGACATAACATAATATTTTACTAGATGTTTTTCAAGACACTTCTATACAGCTTAAAGTGACATTTAAAGGCTTAACTAGGTTAATTAGGTTAACTAGGCAGGTTAGGATAATTAGGCAAGTTATTGTATAACAATGGTTTGTTCTGTTGACTATCGAAAACAAATAGAGCCTAATAGTAGCCCCCTTTGATTTTTTTTCTTTTTTAAAAATTTTCAAATGATGTTTAACAGAGGAAGGAAATTTTCACAGTATGTCTGATAATATTTTTTGTTCTGGAGAAAGTCTTATTTGTTTTATTTCGGCTAAAATAAAAGCAGTTATAAATTTTTTAAAACTCATTTTAAGGTCAATATTATTAGCCTCTTTAAGCTAATTCTTTTTCAACAGTCTACAGAACAAACCATCGTTATACAATAACTTGTCTAATTACCCTAACCTACCTAGTTAACCTAATTAACCTAGTTAAGCCTTTAAATATCACTTTAATTTGTATAGAAGTGTCTTGAAAAATATCTAGTCAAATATTATTTACTGTCATCATGGCACAGATAAAATATACCAGTTATTAGAGATGAGTTATTAAAACTATTATGTTTAGAAATGTGTTGAAAAAAAATCTTCTCACAGTTAAACAGAAATTGGGGAAAAAAATAAATAGAGCGGCTAATAATTCAGGAGGGCTAATAATTCTGACTTCAACTGTATATAAGCATGTAAACAGTTGTTTTTGGTAATTAAAATAAAGCTGAAATAATATTATTACAAAAGCTGAAAACATAAAAACAAATTAAATCGAAGAAGTAATATATTTTAAAAACTGTAAAAAATAATACAAAATTTTATAATAGTATTTATTAATAAGACGCAGTGGTGCAGTAGGTAGTGCTGTCGCCTCACAGCAAGAAGGTGCTGGTTCAAGCCTCGGCTGGCTCAGATGGCGTTTCTGTGTGGAGTTTGCCCTGCGTTCTCATGGGTTTCCTCCGGGTGCACCGGTTTCCCCCACAGTCCAAATACATCCAGTACAAGTGAATTGGGTAGGCTAAATTGTCCATAGTGTATGAGTGTGTGTGTGTGTGAATGAGTGTATGTGAATGATTCCCAGAGATGAGTGGCGGCTGGAAGGGCATCCGCTGCGTAAAAACGTGCTGGATAAGTTGGCAGTTCATTCCGCTGTGGCGGCCCCAGATTAATTAAGGGACTAAGCTGAAAAGAAAATGAATGAATGAATATTAATAAGATAAAAATAGTACTAATAGCTGTTTTTGCATAGTATGTCCGTTTAAATTTCCGCATTTAGTTATAAATGGCATCTTTGATGACAGTATTCTATAACACAATATTTTATTTTGATTTTGATATCAAAGGCACAAAAGTATGTAATTTTTCCTCCTCTTCTATGGATTTTTTCCTTCTCTTGTTACCAGTGTTTTTCTGCCAGCACTAATGCATTCGCAGCAGCGAGTGACGTCTACTCCAAAGCCATACTATTTCCGAATCCATACTTTCAACAATCTAATTTGTCCATTTTTATGATTCTATTGTAGGTGAAGAAGATCAACAGAAATTTCCCAGTAAACCAGCAGGTAAGGAAACTGCGTCTGAATTGTTTAAAAGGGTGCAAACTGGAGCTTGAAAGTGTGATTGAAAGCCTGCAGAGCTGCGGATAAAGGCCTGACAGAGTGAGCGAGTTGCTCAGTGCAGTTGAATGAAGCCTCATAATGATGTTTTCTGACAGGAGTCAGTGCTCGTGTGCTGCGTGACCCGCGAAGCTGCAGAAAACCAGAGTCAAGTTCACAGGGCTTGTAGATTCTCTGAATTGCCTGATCCCGTTTCCTTGAATGGATCTGACATCATACAGACTGACAGAAACGTGGTCACAGTGACCGATCTGAGGCTTTGTGTTGTGACATTTCACATGATCAGGCGTTGAAATGGAGTCTAATTAGACTCGACACAGCAGGTGAACAGGGGAAAAAAAACAACAACTAATAATGGTTATTGGCACACCTCAACATTGTTTTCCTACTTAGAATTTTTGTCTTGTTTCAAGTCTACATCTCTTAAATCAAAATATTGTTCTGTTTTCAAAAACTTTGTGACAATTATGTCACAAATATTTCCTCCCGCCCTCTCCTCCTTTCCATAGATCGGGCGGCACGGCGGCCCAGTGATTAGCACTGTTGCCCCACAGCAAGAACACTGCCAGCTCTGGTCCTTGCCCGGCTGGGGGCCGGTTTCCTCCCAACATCGATCAACTGAAGAAATAAATATAAACAAAATCATTTGATATTTTCTTTTAAAAAATAATAAAATATACATAAATATTAAAAAAAAACATAAAAGAATGTTTAAAATTTGGTAACTAAACTTTTTGGAGCTCCAATAAATGGTCAATAAATAAATCAAATCTCAATGTACATGTGACTTATGAATGAATGAAGGAACTAATGAATGAATGAATGAATGAATGAATGAATGAATGAATACATAATAGCATGAATGAATGAATAAAAGCATATGTGAATGAAAGCATGACTGAATGAATTAATGAATGAATGAAAAACGAATGAATAAATGAATGAATGAATGGATAAAGACATCCTTGAATGAAAGCATAAATGAATGTACACTGTATAAAATGCAATGTTTCACACAATTCATTCATGTTGTCCCAACACAAATCGATTAAGTTAACTTAACACATTTAACAAATTTATGTGGATTGAACATGAAAAATGTAAGTTGTCTCTATGAAATCTCAAGAATTGTGTTGTTTCAGCTCATTTTAAATAAGTAGTTTGAACAAGTGCATAAATGAATGATTGAAAGCATGACTGAATAAAAGCATCTATGAATAAATGAACAAATGAATGAATGCATGCATGAATAACAGCATCCATGAACTAATAAATAAATGAACAAACGAATGAATGAATGAATGAATGAATAAAAGCATCCATGAATAAATGAAGGCATAATTGAATAAAAGTATCAATGAATGAATGAAAGCATAAATGAATAAAAGCATCCATCAATGAATGATTGCAAGCATGAATAAATAAAAGCATCTATGAATAAATGAACAAATGAATGAATGAATAAAAGCATCCATGAATAAATGAAGGCATGAATGAATAAAAGTATCAATGAATGAATGAAAGCATAAATGAATAAAAGTATCCATCAATGAATGATTGCAAGCATGACTAAATAAAAGCATCTATGAATAAATGAACAAATGAATGCATGAATAATAGCATCCATGAATGAATGAATAAAAGCATCCATGAATGAATTAATGGAAGCATGACGGAATGAATAAATGAAAAACAAATAAATGCATGAATAAAAGCATAAATTAATGAATGAACGAATTAAAGCATAAATAAATGAATAAAAGTATGCATGAATGAATAAATAAAACAAACTAATGAATAAAAAACAAATAAATGAATGAAAGCATGAATGAATAAAAGCATCTATGAATAAAAAAACAAATTAATAAATGAATGCATGAATAATAGCATCCATGAACTAATAAATAAATGAACAAACGAATGAATGAATGCATGAAAAAAAGCATCCATGAATGAATGAAAGCATGAATCAATGAACAAATGAATGAAAGCATGAACAAATAAAAAATGAATGAATAAACAAATGATTGAAAGCATGACTGAATAAAATCATCTATGAACAAATGTACAAATAAATGCATGAATAATAGCATCCATGTACTAATAAATAAATGAACAAATGTATGAATGCATGAATAAAAGCGTCCATGAATGAATGATTAAAAGCATGACAGATTAAAAGCGTCTATGAATAAATTAACAAATTAATAAATGAATGCATGAATAATAGCATCCATGAACTAATAAATAAATGAACAAACGAATGAATGAATGCATGAAAAAAGCATCCATGAATGAATGAATAAAGGAACAAACAAATGGATGAAACCATGAATGAATGAACGAACGAACGAATAAATACATACATGAGTAAATGAATGAATAAATGAACAAATGAATGAAAGCATGAACAAATAAAAAATAAATGAATAAACATGAATGAAAGCATGAATGATTTACGCATAATACATTTTATGTTGAACTTAAATATTTCTTTCTAGAGCCACTTTCAGTAAATCTCCACTTGAAACTTTTCCCATTGTACACAGTAATGACTTTCCTCATCATTTCTTTTGGGGCTATTTTCTCACTTAACTTTAATATGCAATTAATTAGATTGCAAACATTATGTAATTAATGCGTTTTCTGCCTGCAAAATTCTGTCTAGATCAATAAGATGAACTGAATTCATTTATTTCCCCTTGCATGTGTGTGTGTGTGTGTGTGTGTTACAGATCATCTATATGGGCTGGGTTGACGAGAAAGAGCAGGATTCAGTTCAGGACCGAATGTACACACCAAAGTTTCTTGCCTTGAGGGGTTCGTCTCTCTTCAAATTCTCCGCACCTCCAGTGAGTTCTTCTGCATGATTTACTGCTTCAAGAGCCTTTCACTTTCAATTGCTGACTTGTAGATGATTTTATATTTAGCATATGCACGCAATATTTATTCTACTTGCGGCAATTCGGCTGGAAAAAAAAATGGTGACAATTATGAAAGCACATCAAACTCTTGTTGAAAGTTTTCTTGAGCATCTGTTGTTAGCTGTTCATTGCACTGAAGAATTGTTAAAGGAATACTTGACCCAAAAATTGATATTCTGTCATGATTCCTTCACTTTCTTCAAACCGTACAGATAAGATTTAAACCTAAATTTCAGGCTTTTTGGGAAACAACTTTATTGGTAGATAGTGAACAAGTGATATCGATTATTTTTATTGAGCTTCTTTGGAGCAAACATGAAAAAATGAAGGTTTGGAAGTTTTAGGTGAAATCTGCATACATTTCCTTTTAAAAATCATCCTTTATGTTTCATCAAATAAGATTATTAGTGTTTATTGTGCGAAATAAAATATAAATATTACAATTAGGCCTGTCACAGTAATCAAAATATCGACTTATTGCACAACACGTGGACATGAGCTCAATCATTTTTGGTGATGCAATATATTGCAAGTGTCAGTGTCAGCATGATAAAAAAACACCATCTTGTTTATTTTAAGTTACTTAAGTATAGTTTCATGTGGGTGAAAATAGAAATTCTGACAGCTGAAAATAGATCTGGTAGCAGATATCACAGCCACCTTGCACTTTTTTGTTAACATTTATTATTATTAATTTAGGATCTGCGTTTTCACATTCTGAATCCAATGCCTGATTGTAAATTGTTCAGATGACTATAATTAAATTAAATATTCCTAATAATAAAATATGATTTGTTCTTTGGGGCGAGGCAGTGGCGCAGTAGGTAGTGCTGTCGCCTCACAGCAAGAAGGCCGATGGGTCGCTGGTTCGAACCTCGGCTCAGTTGGTGTTTCTGTGTGGAGTTTGCATGTTCTCTGTGCCTTTGCATGGGTTTCCTCCAGGTGCTCCGGTTTCCCCCACAGTCCAAAGACATGCGGTACAGGTGAATTGGGTAGGCTAAATTGTCCGTAGGGTATGAGTGTGTGTGTGGATGTTCCCCAGAGATGGGTTGCGGCTGGAAGGGCATCCGCTGCGTTAAAACTTGCTGGATAAGTTGGCGGTTCATTCCTCTGTGGTGACCCCAGATTAATAAAGGGACTAAGCCGACAAGAAAATGAATGAATGAATGAATGAATGAATGAATGATTTGTTCTTTGGAAGAGTGTACTTGCATCGTCATATTATATTGTCATTTTTACGTTAAAAAAAGTGGATATTGTGACAGGCCTAATTACAATTATTATGAAAACTGATTAAAATGCATTCATAAGTAAATAATCAAAATATTAATAATCAAAATCAGCATGAAAACCAAAAACATAAAATATAAATAAAGTAGTTAAAAATAGTTTGGGAAAAATAGTCCGAATAGTGTTTAGAATCAGATAAATTATGTTATATTCAAATGTCTGACAACAATTTTACAACTGAGGATAAAAAAAAAAACAGAAGCCAATTCATATTTACTAGTGAAAGTTGCATAAAAGTTCATTAAAACATTGTTCTTTATGGTCAGTGAAAAAGGTATATGAGTGTTTATTGTGCAAACTAAAATAAAAATAATACAAATATTGAAATTATTATGAAACCTGATAAAAAATGTTTATAAATAGTCAAAATAGTAATAAACAAAATATTAAACAAAAACTAAAATATATTAATATAGTCAAAATAGAAACAATTGTCAAAATAGCTTTTAGAATAAAATAAATAATGATATTTCAAATAATAGTTAATAAAAATATTCAATTTAAAATCACCTGATAAATAATGCAAATGTAAAGATCAAAATGTATAACATTTCATTAAAATTATTTTAATTTACATAATTTTTAATAATATATATAATTATAATAAAAAATTATGTTTGTTTTTTTATATCATTATTGTTTATATTTATTTACGTATTTAATAGTAATATAGTAATAACAAATGACAGTAATAATTAAAATATGAAAGCTGAAAAAAATCTAAGTTAAAAGTAGTCAAAACAATTATAAATGCTAAAACAGTATATTTAAATAAGACCAAAATAATATTTAGAGTAATATAAATAATAATAATTATATATATATATATATATATATATATAAAGTAATTCATATTATATTCAGAATATTCATTTTAGGTCATAGGTTATTTTTTTAAACCAATGCTTTTCCCCTCGAACCGTTAGCATCCCCATTATTTGCTTGAGTTATTATCGACTTTATGAAATCCATTAATCCGTTCAGGCGTCTGCAGGCTAAATCACCCAACCCGATGCTCCAACACCTCCATTCAATAAAGCCTAATCTCCCTGCGCAATCAGCAATTAACTCCAACACCTCCGCCATAATTCTGTGAAATAATTTGCACTGAATCATGCATGATAATCTGGAAAGACTCTCATTAAAGGTAATGTGTAGATGACACTGATAACTCTCTGGCTCCCCCTGTGTTTGCTGTCAGATGGAATAGTTGAAGCACTTAAAGCAGACACATCCCACTCTCCTACTTATACATACTAAAAGTATGTTTTTATGTGAAGAAAAAGTACAAACTTTTAAGTGTGTAACAAAAAAGTGTGCAAGCTTTAGGACAAACCTCATCCTCATAAACTGACCGTTATGTTGCTTAGTTATGTGTCTTGTCAATAATCTCGACACATACACATTTATGTATCATATCATCATAAATGCATCCATTAACTGTTCGGAATCATCGTGGTTCAGTCTAGAACAGGGGTCGGGAACCTTTCTTCAGCAAAGATCCATTTCTGCTTTTTTTCTTTTTAGCTGATTTATTTTTTTAAAGAGTCATTGATATAAATATGCATCTACTGTATATATATATATATATATATATATATATATATATATATATATATATATATATATATATATATATACAGATAAAGTCAGAATTATTAGCTCCCCTGTTTATTTTTTCCCTAATTTGTTGTTTAACGGAGAGCAGATTTTTTCAACACATTTCTAAGCATAATAGTTTTAATAACTCATCTCTAATCACTGATTTATTTTATCTTTGCCATGATGACAGTAAATAATATTTTCAAGACATTTCTATACAGCTTAAAGAGACATTTAAAAGCTTAACTAGGTTAATTAGGTTAACTAGGCAGGTTAGGGTAATTAGGCAAGTTATTGTATAACAGTGATTTGTTCTGAAGACTATCGAAAAAAAATATATATTGCAGCTTAAAAGGGATAATAATATTGACCTTAAATTGGTGTTTAAAAAACTCTCCAGGAGAAATTTTTTTTATCAGACATACTGTAAAAATGTCCTTGCTCTATTAAACATCATTTGGGAAATATTTAAATAATAATAATAACTCAAAGGGGGACTTCAAGTGTGTGTGTTTGTAGTCCCATATTGTAGTCCTTAGTGCCCCCCACTAGTGACAATATACAGCCATATCACTCTGCTACTACTAGCATGATTGGTTCATGTGTAATACATTCTATGTTGAAAACATTAGAACTAATATATATGGAGTTTGCATGTTCTCCTCATGTTGGCATGGGTTTCCTCCAGGTGCTCCGGTTTTCCCCTCAGTCCAAAGACATGCGGTACAGGTGAATTGAGTAAACTAAATTGTCCGTAGTGTGTGTGTAAATTAATGTGTATGGATGTTTCCCAGTGATGGGTTATAGCTGAAAGGGCGTCTGCTGCATAAAACATATGCTGGATAAGTTGGCGGTTCATTCCGCTGTGGTGACCCCTGATTAATAAATGTATTAAGCTGAAAATAAAAGAAATTAATAAAAATGCAACTGAATAATATAATATGTCTGATAATATTTTTTCTTCTTGAGAAAGTCTTATTTGTTTTATTTCAGCCAGAATAAAAGCAGTTTTTAATTTTTTTATCACCATTTTAGGGACAAAATTATTATCCCCTTTAAGCTATATTTGTTTTCAATAGTCTTTAGAACAAACCACTGTTATACAATAACTTGCCTAATTACCCTAACCTGCCTAGTTAACCTAATTAACCTAGTTAAGCCTTTAAATGTCACTTTAAGCGTCTTAAAAAATATCTAGTCAAATATTATTTACTGTCATCATGGCAAAGATAAAATAAATCAGTTATTGGAAATGAGTTATTAAAATTATTATGTTTAGAAATGTTTTGAAGAAAATAACATGGGGGGGGGGTCATAATTCTGACTGTACAAATATATTGCTATAAATAATACAGGTTTAAGCTAAACCTTTATTTATGTCCATGCATAACTCAAAAATAAAAAAGTCCATGAATGAGGAAAGGACAATGTATAGAATTTTTTTCTTTTCGTCATCGTCACTCGTGAAGGTTGTTTGAATTTACATTCACAAGGTTACCTCGTCAAAGAGACACATGTGACTCTCGAGCCATAGGTTCCCTACTGCTGGTCTAGAAGTTGTGTCTCTTCTTCTCCATCATTGTCTGACTTTGGTTTGAACATGCTAGTAAAACCCCGCTGATCTGACACCAACCAACCTGCTCCTAGCTGGGATCGAACCAGCGACCTTCCGCATGGGAGTCAGTTGCTCCAACAAGGAGGCTAAAGACCATGATCTCTAGCGTCTATCACTAGAGCACCTTTAGAGGTCAGAGAAGTGAGCTTACACTAACTGGCTTCCGCTATGCAAGACTTTAACTTTAGCTGTGTGAAAGTCATTTGGGGGACGCAGTGGTGCAGTAGTTAGTGCTGTCGTCTCACAGCAAGAAGGTCGCTGGTTTGAGCCCCGGCTAGATCAGTTGGCGTTTCTGTGAGGAGTTTGCATGTTCTCCCCGCGTTCGTGTGGGTTTCCTCTGGGTGTTCCGGTTTCCCTAACAGTCCAAATCATGCGGTACAGGTGAATTGGGTAGGCTAGCTTGTTCGTAGTGTATGAGTGTGTATGGATGTTTCCCAGAGATGGGTTGCAGCTGAAAGGGCCTCTGCTGCGTAAAACAAATGCTGGATAAGTTGGCGGTTCATTCCGCTGTGGCGACTCCAGATTAATAAAGGGACTAAGCCAAAAAGAAAATGAATGAAAGTCATTAGTTTTGTTCAGGAGTGTCAGAATAGTATTTAAAGGCTCCTCCCTTTTATTGAAAGCAGCAGCTCATTTGCATTTAAAGAGACACACCTAAAAAACAGTGTGTTTTTGCTCACATCCAATGATGGCTGATGATCTGTAAGGGGTTTTGAGCTGAAACTTCAGACACATTATGGCGATGCGTGAAATTTATTTGACATCTTATAAAAAGTTGCGTTGCATTTCCTCTTCACAGATAATGTGTAGATGACACTGATAACTCTCGGGCTCCCCCCTGTGTTTGCTGTCAGATGGATCAGTCCTGGTGGAGCAGTTTGTTGGCTTGTTGATTGTTTTCCATTAAATGATCCTATAGACATCAAAGAGCTTCATCCAATCTGCTATTAATTGTAATTTGATGGCGAAGTAGGCGGAAGATCAAAAGTTTGGACGTGGAAAGCTATTATGGGATGCGCAGATGCTGAATTGCGCTGGAGGGGATTTACGACGCTCAGCAGTTTGTCCAAAAAAGCTCTCTCAGGTTACTTCAGTCTCGTTCTGATGATCGACACTCACGGCAATAAACACTTGACATGATGCCTTTGAGGAAGCAGCGAGCACAAAGCTGGATTTCAAAGCGTTTCGGACTTGAAAAGTGTTCAGGTGCACACAGTTGTGATTTGGTTATAAGCTGCTGATGAAAAGAGATGTTTTATGTGTTTATTGGTTCCTACATGGGCTGTGAAGACAGTTTGTAATTGGATGTTTCTCTGAGTAACACACAGGACTGCAAGCAGGAGAAAAACTAAATTATTTTATGTATTTAATACTTTATATAAAAAGCTGTTTGGGTGAAAGACGCTTCTCATATGGAGAATGAAGTCTGAAGAAATGGTTCTGTGGGTCTCGTCTATCAAATCTGATCTTTACTTTGTATTTTCTATTGGATTCAGATCAGGTGATTGGCTGGGCCATTCTACAGCTTGATTTTCTTTCTCTGAAAGCATTTAAGAGTTTCCTTGGCTGTGTTTTAGATCGAAGAGGAAAGGCAGACGGTTGCTGAATAACTGCTGAGAGATTTCAGTTGCTGTCTGGGCTTTCTCTGCCTTTCTACACCTTCCTTTCTTCATGTGTTCAATTGTATTTCCCTGTTCATTCATTCATTCATTTATTTTCATCCACTTTTCCGGGGCTGGGTCGCGGGGGCAGTAGTCTTAGGAGAGAACCCCAGACTTCCCTCTTCCCAGACACTTCCTCCAGCTTCTCTGAGGGGATCCTGAGCATTTCCAGGCTAGCCAAGAGACATAGGCTGCGTCTGAAACCGCCTACTACTCAGTAGGGACTGCATTTTAATGTAAACGTACTACTCAGCCATTAGAAAAGTACGCTCTATACAGTATGAATGTGAAAAGTATGAATGGAATTCGGATGTACTACATCCGCCATTTTGTCATGGTCACATGACCAACCTGCGTCAGTTGCGTCGCTTCTTTCCCATTCATGAATTCTCTCGCGGGGCATCATGGGATAGCGCAGCGTGCATGAGATGCGCACTTCAGAAAGTAGTAAGTCATCCGGGTACTTCTCGCATACTGATTTTCCAATTCTATGAATTCGGACATACTACTCGACTCACATACTGATTTTGGCATACTGTATAGTATGGAAGTATGCAGTTTCAGACGCAGCCATAGACTCTCTAGTGTGTCCTGGGTCTTCCCCGAGGCCTCTTCCCGGTGAGACATGGCTGAAACACCTCCCTATTGTTGTAAAAAAAAAAAATGAGTGAAAAGAAGAGAGAACCCAGTCCAGGAGACCCGAAACAAGCAGAATTCCTGGTTAATCTGCAGTCATACAGCGTCTTTAAGATGTCCATGTGTCTGCAAGAGCCTACTAGAGGTCCGCAGTCTGCAAGTTCTTTCACAAGTCTGTCACAAGTCTCACACAAGTCTGATTTATACAAAGATTTCATGTCTATATTGTGTTTTTAGGAGGAGGGGATATGGCTAAACAAAGCATGCAAATTAAGAGTTGTGGTCGGCATGGTAAACTGCTTTTTCAGGTCTAATCTCATCATTTTTTGGAGACAGAAACCGCCTGACCATTTGATCGAAAAGAGAAAACAATAGACACAGCCATGCTGTGAAACTGATAATTGCATCACTTTGGCTTAGCCTGTAGTCAGCAAGGCAAAGGTTAAATGACCCTCCTAGCTGGCATGTCAATGAAATGATATAATTAAAAACCAAAGAATATAACTTTTGAGTTATACGTAGATTATTGTTCATTTGGAATTAGATGATAGAAATTTATATTTCCACACTATGTAGGTGTCCAGGAGGCATCCAAAACAGATGTCCAAGCTCCTCACCAGGGAGGGTGACAGAGCTCCTCACCCTATCTATAAGGGTGCGCCCTGCCACCCTGTAAAGGAAACTCATTTCGGCTGCTTGTATCCGAGATCTTGTCTTTTCAGTCATGATCCAAAGCTCATGGCATAGGTGAGAGTAGGAACGTAGATTGACTGGTAAATCGAAAGCTTTGTCTTTCGGCTCAGCTCCTTTTTTGCCACAATGGACCGGTACATCGACCACATTACTGCTGTATGTATAATAAGCATAATGTGCTCTCATGTTCCATCCTTGAACAAAAACTCAAGATACTTGAACTCCTCCACCTGGGGAAAGGACTGCCCTTCAACCTGGAGATGGCAAACCACCTTTTTCGGGTTGAGCACCATGGCCTCAGACTTGCAGGTGCTGATTCTCATCCAAAGCTGTGTTACATTCGGCAGCAAACCGCCTCAGTGCATGCTGAAGGTCCATTTTCAATGAAGCCAACAGAGCAGCCTTTGTAAACTAGTTAGTTTAGTTTTGTTATTCATGAATTTCTTTTACTTGTTACAAAAATGGGAACGTGTTTAATACTTGTTTCCTGCGCTGTAGATATTTATTAAAATTGATATATATATATATATATATATATATATATATATATATAATTGTTTAATTTCTGTCATTAAAAACAACCTTTCTGCAATTATTTCTGTTTTTGATCACTGTGGGCACCTAAATTGAGGTCTCTGTAGTTTAAGTTTAAGCATAAAATCATACAGATTAAGGTATTTTAATTTTTGTGAGGGTAAAAATAATATATTTGGAAATAATATACTTATATATGGTTTTTACAGTATAAAAATCATTACATCTATAGAGAGTGCTTGTTGTGTGTGTGCTTCTGTGAGTGAGTGTGTGTGTTTGTCTAGGAGTTCTTGTACTATATGTCTTGAGTGTGTGCTGATATGTGCATGTTTGAACATCTATTACTGTGTGTGTGTGTGTGTGTGTGTGTGTGTGTGTGTGTGTGTGTGTGTGTGTGTGTGTGTGTGTGTGTGTGCGCGTGTGTGTGCGTGTGTGTGTGCGTGCGTGTGTCTGGTGTTTACTGGAGCTGTCAGTTTTAGACTGTATTCTGAAATCTGAGCAGTGACAGTGAGTATCTTCTTCATCTCCTCCTCCTCCTCCTGCTGATCTTCTTCTCCTCTGGCCTGTGGCTGCAGAAGCTCAGCGTGAGTCAGTCTCTCATGCTCAGGATCTCTGGGGTTTTTCCTCAGCGAGCGGGATGTTGTTTACTCGGTGTAGTGTTTGAGTGATGCCTGTAGGGCCCAGCGAGAGCAAGTGACCCACAGCTGAATAACACACACACGCACGCACGCACGCATGCACAAACACACACACACACACTTTTATATTGCTGATTAGCTGTTTGGCATTTTACTCTCTGACTGAAGGCAGTCGACCAATCGCAACAGACTGTCATTGGTCCAATCAGCGCAGATTAGCTTCGCGCTAAGGAGGGGTTTGGGAACAAATGAATCACTGGACGATTCATACAGGAGTCGCTGGGATAATTAGGTAAAAATAAATGCAGATTATAAGACCATGAAAGTGTTTTTTGACCTTGCATGCATATTAAACTGTTGTCGGAGACCCTTACAACCAAGATATGACCCTATTTCATGTATAATATGGGCTCTTTAAACTGCAGGCATAAAGTAAAATTTTGTGAATGAAACTACACATTCAACAACATGGAATTCACACCCATAATAGAGCATTGTCAAAGCAAGCCCAAAAACATCATCACTGCAGTCTTACCACTAGCATAAGCACCACACAAGCCTTATCTTGTCTAGGTTTATGGACATTCTGTCAGTTTAGTCTGCACCCATCTCATTCCACCCAAACATGAACACTTGTTGATAATCTCTCGATACAGTAATTAGTGACTTAATGGAAAATCCTCAAAAAAAAAACAAAAAAACAAACACACTAAAATGACTAATACACACACACTCACTCTCTCTATGACTCTTCCAGGTCACCACATGGGACTGGACTCGAGCTGAGAAGAGCTTCACTGTCTACGAGATCATGTTCAAGATACTGAAGGTAAGAGCTCGAGTTCTTCAGGCTTCTCTTCAGGCTTCTCACATCTAGAAACAAATATATAATTATTCTGTAGATTGGTCACCTTTCAGGCACTTATTATTTATATTTTTTTGTATAAATATTGTATTATTTTTTGATATTGGTTTATAATTGCGTTGGTTTTACATTACATTATTATAAGGGTTTTTTACTACATTAAATTGTTATTTTCAGCTCTATATTATTTATTTATTTACATTTTTTTATATTATATCTATTTTTATTTTATTTAAATGAGCCAATCTTTTATATTTTCAGGTTATGAAGTTTTATTTCTATTTTATTTTATTATCCAGTTTTTTTCAGGTCTATATTATTTTATTTAATTTTGTTTTATTTTGTTTAATTTAATTTAATTATTTATTTATTTATTAATTTTAATTTTCCAGTTATTTTTAGGTAAATTTAATTTTATTTATTTATTTATATTTATTTTATTAACCAGTTATGTTTAGGTATAAATTTTTTTTTTTTGTTTTATTTAATTAATTAATTAATTAATTAATTAATTTACTTAGTTAGTTAGTTAGTTAGTTATTTATTTTTATTTATTTTATTTAATTTTTTTATTTTTATATTTATATTTATATTTATTATCCAGTTATTTTCAGGTCTATTTTATTTATTTATTATTTATTTATTTATATTTGTATTTATTTTATTTTATTATCCAGTTACTTTCAGGTTTATTTTATTTATTTAATTATTTATTTATTTATATTTGTATTTATTTATTTTATTTTCCATTTATTTTCAGGTCTATTTTATTTATTTATTTATTTATTATTTATATTTATTTTTATTAAATTTTTTATCCAGTTATTTTCAGGTTTATTTTATTAAATTTATTTATTTATTTATTTATTTTATTTATTTATTTTTTATTTACATGGGCTTTTAATTTCAGTTAGCCAGCCACATGGCTTCTGGTGAATTGTCATCCCATAAAAAATCGGCACTTTTAAGATCTGATTTCATTAAAAAAAAAAACATCTTGACGGCCTGGCTGAGATACGATATAAAGTGGAAATATGGAAAAATGTCAAATCAGACCAAACAAGAAGCACTGCATTAAATTATATTTTTCTGTGTCATGTCTTTAAAATATAGAAATTAATTTTACCCCAGTGTTTTCAATGGAGTTTCTGCGTTTGCTCACTCACTTGAAAATCATTTGATGACATAATGAAAAACTATTAACGGAACTATTAAAGTTTACTTTTGTATAAAAAATATCGTTACACTTAATGAAATTTTAGAAACTGTCATCTATAAATTGTGGTAGAGTATCATAGGCAATATTTTTTGCTCAGAAAAAAAAATCAAATTTTAATAGTTTTTTCAATATGTTATGAAATTGATTCTTGCTCAATGCTTGAGGATGATAAACACGAGGAAATCTATATAACATATATGTGATTTATTTAATCAAAGTATTGTTACAGTAAAGGACATGTTAGAATCTGTCTTGTATAAATTGTGTGTGATTAGGCTTTATTATTATTTTGCTCAGAAAAAATAATCCAATTAAACAGAACACAGTAAAGTACAGAGACAAATCCAAAGCTATTGTTGATCTTCATCATTATTCCTTATGTGCATGTGCGTGTGCAGGACAGTGAGCTGCTGGACAAGCGTAAGCACTGCTTCAGTGTTCAGACAGACTCTGGAGAGGACATCTTCTTCAGTGTGGAGCTGGAGTGTGAGCTGCTCCTCTGGGAGAAAGCCTTTCAGATGGCCACCTTCTTCGAAGTAGAGCGAATACAGGTCAAGCCTCGCATAAACATGCAGAAACAACCAGTTTTTACACAGTTTTTTTGATCCAGAAATGTTTCAAATGTCACTTACACCACAGAACATGATTTTACAACATAATTAATATTGTATATATATATATATATATATATATATATATATATATATATATATATATATAATTTTTTTTTTTAAGATAATTAACAGAGAAAGGACTTTTTTCACAGTATTTACTCTGAAGAAAACTTATTTCCTATTTCTTATTTCTTGTAAATAAAATTAATAGGGCATTATTTATTCATTCATTTTCTGTTCAGCTTAGTCACTTATTAATCTGGGGTCGCCACAGCGGAATGAACCGCCAAATTATCCAGCATATGTTTTACTCAACGGATACTCTTCCAGCTGCAACCCATCACTGGGAAACATTGATACACTCTAATTCACACACATGCACTATGGTCAATTTAGCTTACCCAATTCACTTGTACCACATGTTTTTGGATTGTGGGGGAAACCGGAGCATCTGTAAGAAACCCATGCGAACACGGGAAGAACATGCAAACTCCACACAGAAACGCCAACTGACCAAGCCGAGGCTCGAACCAATCCATTTTATTTTCAGGTTATCAGATTTTATTTCTATTTTATTTTATTATCCAGTTATTTTCAGGTCTTTATTATTTTGTTTTGTTTTTGTTTTGTTTTGTTTATTTTTATTATTGTTATTTATTTATTTTTTTCTTAAATTTTTTTATTTATTTTATTTTATTTTATTTTATTTATGCACACACAGACTTTTAATTTCAGTCAGCCAGTCACATGGCTTCCGGTGAACTGTCATCCCATTCAAAATCGCCACGTTTAGGATCCGATTTCATTAAAAAACATCGATCTTCACTCCCTAGCTGAGATACGATATAAAGTGGGCATCAGACCAAACAAGAAGCACTGCATTAAATTATATTTTTCGGTGTCATGTCTTTAAAATAAGGAAATTCATTTTACCCCAGTATTTTCAATGGAGTTTCTGCACTCGCTCGAAAAACATTTGATAACATAATGGCATTTCATGACATCTCTGGGAAACGTCCATAAAGACTTAGTCCCTTTATTAATCTGGGGTCGCCACACTGGAATGAACCGCCAACTTATCCAGCATATGTTTTACGCAGCGAATACCCTTACAGCTCCAACCCATCTCTAGGAAACACCCTTACACAATCATTCACACTCATACACTACGGACAATTTAGCCTACCCTATTCACCTAGACAGCATGTCCCCGGACTGTGGGGGAAACCGGAGCACCTGGAACCCACGCGAACACAGGGAGAACATGCAAACTCCACACAAAAACGCCAACTGACCCAGCTGAGACTCGAACCAGTGACCTTCTTGCTGTGAGGCGACAGCACTACCTACTGCGCCACGGCGTCGCCCAGGGCATTATTTATTTCATTAATATATATTTTGATTAACATCATTATTTTCAGTGATATGGTCAACACAATCAATGAAAGCGCAGCATATCTTATACGAGTGTTTTCCTGAATAAGCATGCGTTTCAATCAGAATTTTTTGAGAGTGAAATGAAATGAGGGAAAATCAGCAGCGATCTCTGTCTTCTTGGCACGGTGAACAAACACAGCAGATCTGAGATCAGATTGTGGCGAATAAAAGTGCACCTGCCAGACTCAGTGTTGGCCGGCATCTGAACAACACAAACTCTGAGCGATTGAGGCCGTGCCAAAGACAGATTAAATGTGATTTGTTATGCAGTACTTGAAGGAAACACATTGTTCACAAACGCGCTATCAAAACACTTTTGTTTGGACACATTAGTATAATCTAATTCTGGGTTTAACCTGCTTGTTTTTCCATCTACAGGCTCTTTTTTATGCATCAGCTGAATGCTTTTCTGTCAAAACTGATTTTTTATTTTTATTACTTTTGATTTTGTGAAGGTCACTTAAAAAAAAAAATCTACAGTACTTTTTGAATGTTTTTCTGTCTGCACTTTGTTGGTTTGCCCTTGTTTTCTATGGATGAAACTGATGTGTGTTCAGTTTTTATTTAAAAATATAAATATACAGTATTTATTTCCTAAGTTCTGTTTTATATAGCAAGGACATTTTCAGTTTTTTCTAATATATATATATATATAACAAAAAAATAGCTTTCATTTCAAATTCTACAGAAAAAACGGCCACTTTATTAGGCACGCCTTACCTGTACCGGGTTGGAGCCATTTTTGCCTTCAGAACTGCCTTAATCCTTGGTGGCATTGATTCAACAAGCTACTGGAAATATTCCTCAGAGATTTTGCCCCGAATTGACATAATAGCATCACGCAGTTGCAGCAGATTTGTCGGCTGCACATCCATGGAGAGGGGTCTGGCTGCAGACTCTGTGCAGTGCAATCTAGGCTGCATCCGATGCTTTTTAATGCGCTCACCTAACCCTAACCCTACCCGTCACAGTGACGTCACTAACTCCATTGTGTCTGACATTGCATCGCTGAGTGATGCAATCTCAGCTTGCATCATAAAGGCTGCATCCAGATACTATTGCATCCATGATGCAAATCTCCCGTTCCACCACATCCCAAAGGTGCTCTATTGGGTTGAGAGCTAAGACTGTGGAGGCCATTTGAGTACAGTGAACTCATTGTCATGTTCAAGAAACCAGTCTGAGATGATTTACGCTTTATGACATGGTGCGTTATCCTGCTGGAAGCAGCCATCAGAAGATGTGTACACTGTGGTCATAAAGGGATGGATATGGTCAGCAACAATACTCAGGTAGGCTGTGGTGTTGGCAATATGCTCAATTGGTACTAATGGGCCCAAAGTGTGCCAAGAAAATATCCTCCACACCATTACACCACCACCACCAGCCTGAACCGTTGATACAAGACAGGATGGATCCATGGGGATCCATAGTGCGTACTGTATGAGTATGAGTGAGTGTGTATGGATGTTTCCCGGAGATGGGTTGCAGCTGGAAGGGCATCCGCTGCCTAAAACATATGCTGGACAATTTGGTGGTTCATTCCGGTGTGGCAACCCCAGATTAAGCTGAAAAGAATGATGAATAGAATAGAATAGAATAGAATAGAATAGAATAGAAATAGAAATGTTACATTTTGGGAACAATATGGTTGATCAAATTTCATGTATTGTTTAATAATATTGCATGATTTGCAAGCATTTATATTTAAAGACTTGTAATACCGAAGCAAATAAATATTACAAAATATTGCATATTTTAGTAAGCCCACAGCATTAGCAATGTTCCACAACCGTTTCACATTGCTGGAAAACAAGGGTGGCACAAATAAAATCACTGCCAATTTGTCACCACTAAACCAAACTAATGCGGCAAAAACCTGACCGCGCCTCGTGCCAGAAAACCGCTTCTGTTTATTTTCCTCCCTAAATAATTACGCCCGACACTTACCATCCTAATTAAACATTTAAGAGATGGAGGAGATGTTTGTGTGCCAGTTTTTCTCGTGCCTAATTCACAATGCCAACTATCTCCTGTTTCAGTGTAAAACATACGCTTGTATTGTGGACAGTCATCTCATGGGACTCACCATAGACTTCAGCATGGGCTTCGTGTGCTTCGACGCCGCGTCAAAGGTATGACACGAAAGACAGCGTTTTAATTAAATGTGAGGAGACGTAGATTTTCCTGAATTTTCCATTAGCTGCTTTGTTGCTATGCGCTATTTGTGTCAGACCAGAAATTTATAGAAACGTGCTAAAGACAACACTTCAATCTGCCAACTATGTGTTAGATAAACATGTATAAACATTTGCTTAACATTTGATTAATTGGTCACATTTTGCTTTAAGGTTTCATTAGTTACACTTTATAATAAGATTCATTAGTTAATGTATTTACTAACATGAACTAATTCTGAACAATGCCTGTACAGCATTTATTAATCATAGTTCATCATTTACTAATGCATTATTATCATTAGTTAATGCACTTTGAGTTAGTGATGAACAACTGTTTTTTCATTAACTAACAAAAACAAATACTGTCAAAAATGAGTTGTTCATGTTAGTAAATACAATAACTAACATTAACTAATAACACCTTATTGTTACTGTATTTGCTTACGTGAGCTAATGAATGAGCAATACTTGTTCAGTATTTATTAATTAGTATTAGTTAAAGTAACACTCCACCTTTAAAAATTAAAAAATAAACTGTTCGGAAACACTTTTAGCGTAGCTTAGCATAGATCATTGAAACGGATTAGACTGTTAGCATCTCGTTCAAAAATGTCAATGTAAATTTTTATTTGTATAGCACTATTTAACACAGCCAGAGGTTGACCAATGTGCTGCACAGTACAAATCAAAACAGAAAAAAAACAAATATATATATATATATATATATATATATATATATATATATAATTATAGCTAAAACTGACAATTTTCACTAATAAAATGGCAAATGCCAAAGAGGTTTCAGCCTAGATTAAAAAACAGACAGGGATGACACCGATCTGATACAGAGGGGCTGAGCATTCCACAACCTAGGACCAGTTGCGAAGGCACGGTCACCTCTGCATTTCAGCCTCGACTTAAGGATGCATAACAGTCTCTGGTTAGATGACCGAATAGACCGACCAGGGGTGCTTTCCCATGACCATCGTTAGCCAACTAAGGTTGCAAGTTCCGTCGTTACAAACCTAGTTTGTTGATTTGCCATTTCCCAAATCCGTCGCTCCAATGAACATTCACAAACTGCATCGCAAACTTGAGCTCTCACAACTACAGCTCTGGAGCTGTAGTTTGAAACATGGTTCCTGGCTGTGTTCTAATCCCACTTATCCCCCCTATGCCCTATTCATTTAGAACATTCTAACATTCAAAGTTGGAGTTATTAAAAATAAAAATGCATTAAGGTGATCTCTCTTAGGTGTAATTTGCTTTCTTTCTATTTTTACAGTTCAGTTTTAGCGATCTTCGTGTTTACAGTTGTGTTCCCTTCGCAGTGCACTTTGAAAACATTGATGTCATTTTGAACACAGCCTCATGGCGAAAGCTATTGGTGACCTATTATTTAAAAGCGGAATTTACGTTACATCTACAAAGCTTGTGAAAACAAAAAGCAAACGTTAATTCTTTTAATTTATAGGGGGTTATTTATTAAGTATCTGTACTGTATATGACATGGGCCTGCTGGTTACTTTCTGCTGTGGTATACAAGTGTCAAATTGTAAAAGTAGACACTTAAAAATAAATAAATAAACAGTATACTACTTAATAATAACAATAGTAATAATCATCATAATTATTAATATTATTATTAAAGTATGAATTTTTCATTTCTAATTAATTATAAAAATTCAATTTAATTTCTTAATAAATCGCCTCATTATTTATTTATTTATTTAGATTATTTATATATGAGATTAGAAAATGTGTTTGTAAAGGAAACACAGGCCCTAAATGTGCGATTTACATATATTTCAGTTAATATGCGAGTGCATGTTTTTACCAAATCTATTATTAAATTTTATTTTAAATGCGTGTTTGTGTAAAAGCATATAATTTGCATGAAGAAATGATAGGGTTCTTCTCTAAAGAAGTTGTAACTCCACCGCATTTAGAGCATCCTTTTGGGTGTTTTACGTTATTACTAACGTGGTTCAAGCGATGGATCTGCGACAGAGAAACTACGGGTTTTAAGAAACACTAGTTACTACATCGTTCTTTTCCCAAACGATGCATCATGCTATGATAGTTCAGCTGCGTGATTGTTTGTGAAACGCACTTCAGGCTCAATTAACATGTCTGCCAGATAAGAACGTGCCAGGCCATTTAGAGATTTAAACCAAGAGAAGCATTTTAAAAGTGACTTGATAGTGCACAGGCAGCTAGTGCAAAGAGCGGACGACTGGTGTAATGTGGTCATGTTTCTTGGTACCTGTTAAAAGCCTTTTAGCAGCATTTTGAACTAAGTGTAACCTGGATAAGGTTATCTGACTAATCCCAAAGTATAATGAGTTACAATAGTCCAATCTAGTGGTAATAAAAGCATAGATTATTTTTTTCAAAATCTTTTCTAGATAAAATAGATTTGAAAGTTTTTAAAAGTCGAAGCTGAAAGAAGCAGGATTTGACCATTGCATTTATCTGTTCGTTAAAGCTCAAGCCATCATCCAGAAAAACACCCAGGGCTTTATAGAAAAACTAAATTTTTCTAGATTGACCATTGGGGCTCTGGAAGAGTTTGACAGGCCGAACAAAATCATTTCGCTCTTACTCTCATTAAAATCTAGAAAGTTCAAGGACAACCAGTCTTTCACATCCGACAAACACAGCATAAGGGTCTCTAGCCCACTTGAACTTGGCTTTAAAGGCAGGTAGATTTTGGGTGTCATCTGCATAACAGTGAAAAGACAAACCATGTAAAAATTGTACAAAGTGTTTTGATAATTCGGTCCCACTTTATATTAAGTGGCCTTAACTAATATGTACTTACACAGGACTTAATAGTTTGTTACAATGTACTTATTGTGTAAATACATGTATTTACTGTGTACTTATGCTTGATTAAATACATTAATGTATTATAATATAATTAACTTTTGTAATTACATTTGTAAATACACTGTTGACCATCCCTTACACCTTAACCCACCCTTAAACCTACCCATGCCACCAAACCTGTCCATAACCCAACCTCTATCCCAACTTAAAAGCACCACAAGTGTTCTCAAATACATTATAAACACAGTAAGTACATTGTATTTGTTTTTTTTGATGTAAGTACATAGTAGTTAAGGACACTTAATATAAAGTGGGACCGATGATTTTCCCATCTAAAGCTTTTACTACTCTTCTGTAGTAATATTGTGTACTAAGAATGACTCTCATAATAATCTCATTCTGATGGAATAATCAAGGTATTTTGCTGCTGTATCATGGCTGTAGCAGGGTACAATCAAGTCAAGCTGAGTTTATTGTCATTTTGCTACATGAAGTGGAATGAAATGTTGTGTTTCGCAGGACCATGGTGCTGCATTATTAAACATAATCATAAATATAAACACGACACTGGACGTAGGAGCGATTTTTAAAACCTATACATGGGCCCATACGGAATCTGCGTGCGTAGATTTCCACAGATTTCCAGCCGATTTTTAGCCCTTAATTAATTCTGTTTATTCACTTGAGTAAATGTGTGTAAATCTATATTTATTCAGTTTTAAAATGAATTGCAATAATATTATTGACTAATATGAAAATATTATACATGTGGAATGCAATTATCTAACTCCACATAGCATTTTATCAGACTTGACTATTTTCAGGCACCTACCTTTATTAATATGCACAATTTAATCCTTCATCATAGGCAGTGCTGTGGAGATATAAGTTCTCTCAGCTTAAAGGATCATCAGATGACGGCAAGAGTAAAATCAAATTCCTGTTCCAGAATCAGGACACAAAACTCATTGAAGCTAAGGTAAGTCCTCATTTTATTTAATTATTATTGGCTTAATAACTTAATTATTGACCCCACATTTTAAACATCAAAATGACGTAAAACTTAAATAAATGCCAATCTTCAATGCTTTAATGATTCATTCTTGGTCTCATTTTAAAGAAGACAGATTCACGTTCAAAGACGTTCACAAAAATGATGCATCTAATAAAACAATAAATATACATTTTAAAATATTACATAAAAGTATATATTTTATAAATCTGTTTTAGCCCAAATTTGACAGAAAATCTAAGATAAATATCTGAACCAATTATATTCCAAATTTAAAGTTGATATCTCAAAAAATGAGCTTTGTGTCAAATTTAGTTTGACCGCAGTACCAAACATGACCACCAGTTGACATTCAGTTTCTATTTCTGTGTATGTTTGAAGAATGTTAACCAAAACTTTGACAATATTTATAAAGTAGGCATCACATTCTAAAGCAGGATGTGCACTTTGGGTGGCATTTGCCTGTGAAAACCATATAAACATTTTAAAATGTGGATTGCTTTAGCAAAGGATTCATTTACAAGTCTATCCTTGTTTTAAATTAATAAATAACTCTTACTCAGTAATATCTACCAAAAGCCTGGGATGGAAACTAGACATTTTAAGCTTTCAAACAACATATTGTCTGTGTTGATTGCTTTATGTTTAAAAAATTAACAGCAAATGGTCGCACAGGTTGAAGGGTAGCGGTAAATGAATATTGATTTCTTACACAAGCTATAAAACCGAAAAACAGTGGTAAAATATGTATTAGACCTTGAACTTTTGGACCTTTACAGTGATATACAGTATAGTTTGTCATGATTAGATTAGGATTTAATCATAATATAGTTAATTCAACTTAAACATCCTGCTATCGGGACGGCGACAGCAATATAGTCTCTATGAAAGTCAGATGCTGCTCGTGTATTTTAATGTATATAGCAGCACTATTAAAAAATATGACTTCATAGATTTATGGATCGTCAGCATGAATATCATGCACTCAATTTGAATAATGCTAACCACAATTCTTACAATAATTATAAAGTAGGCATCACCTTCTAAAGCAGTATGTGCACCTTGGTGGCATTTGATTTGAATTAAGCCAGTGAAAACCATATAAACATTTTAAAATGTGGATTGCTTTAGCAAAGGATTCATTTACAAGTCTATCCTTGACTATCCTTGTAGCAAATTAATAAATAACAGTTGCTCAGTAATATCTACCAAAAGCCTGGGATGGAAACTAGACATTTTAAGCTTTCAAACGACATATAATCTGTCATGATTGCTTTATATTTGAAAAATTAACAGCAAATGGTCGCACAGGTTGAAGGGTAGCGGTAAATGAACATTGATCCCTTACACAAGCTATAAAACTGAAAAACAGTGGTAAAATATGTATTAGACCTTGAACTTTTGGACCTTTACAGCGATATACAGTATAGTTTGTCATGATTAGATTGGGATTTAATCATAATATAGTGAATTCAACTTAAACATCCTGCTATCGGGACGGCGACAGCAATATAGTCTCTATGAAAGTCAGATGCTGCTCGTGCATTTTAATGTATATAGCAGCACTATTAAAAAATATGACTTCATAGATTTATGGATCGTCAGCATGAATATCATGCACTCAATTTGAAGAATGCTAACCACAATTCTTACAATAATTATAAAGTAGGCATCACCTTCTAAAGCAGTATGTGCACCTTGGTGGCATTTGATTTGAATTTAGCCAGTGAAAACCATATAAACATTTTAAAATGTGGATTGCTTTAGCAAAGGAATTATTTACAAGTCTATCCTTGACTATCCTTGAAGCAAATTAAAAATATCAGTTGCTCAGTAATATCTATCAAAAGCCAGAGATGGAAACTAGACATTTTAAGCTTTCAAACGACATATAGTCTGGGATGATTGCTTTATGTTTGAAAAATTAACAGCAAATGGTCGCACAGGTTGAAGGGTAGCGGTAAATTAATATAGATCTCACTAGCTACAAAACCGAAAAACAGTGGTAAAATATGTATTAGACCTTAAACTTTTAGAACTTTACAGTGATATACAGTATAGTTTGTCATGATAAGATTGGGATTTAATCATAATATAGTGAATTAAACTTAAGCATCCTGCTATCGTGACGGCGACAGCAATATAGTCTCTATGAAAGTCAGATGCTGCTCGTGCATTTTAATAGCACTATTAAAAAGTATGACTTCATAGATTTATGGGTCGTCAGCATGAATATCATGCACTCAATTTTTAGGAAACTTTTCAAAACATCACAAAAGAAATGGCTGAAGGGAGCGGATAAAAATAAAGCATGTTTATATGATTCCCTGTTTGATTATTTTCCCCCCTGTAGGCCTTAAGTAACACTTTCATGCGCTGAGTTTGATTTCATTCCTGCTTGAGGCTGCTGCTCTTTTTTTTTTCTTCCAGAAAACATTATCTTTTTTTTTCTTTTTGATTCCAGGAACTGGAGTTCTCCAATCTCTTTGCAGTTCTCCATTGCATCCATGCGTTTTTTGCCGCCAAAGTGGCTTGTTTGGATCCCATGTTCGTGAGCAGCCGAAACGCAGCCATGGCTCCAGTTGTGTCCGCGACGTCCACTTTAGCAGCGCCGTCGCACATCTCCAAAATCAAATACACGAGCTGACAGACTCCTCTCCTTCCAGACATTCAAAAGGTAGGATGAGAGGAACTAACCCTGACAAACGATTGACATTGTAACAATGAAAACCTCGCTATATATATCCTCGGGATGAGAAACAGACGAAAGCCATTAAGCGAATGAGCTTGGACTTTTGAAGATGCTCCTGGAAGTCTTAGAAGGACTGACTCCTTCACCTTTGATACTGAGATATATCTGTCTGCATTTAGATGATATGAACACTTCTTTGTGCACACCTTTAGAGTATTATTTCATCTGGTTATTGACTGGAATGAACCCTGAAACTGCCATAAATCCCACCATGTTTTCAAGCCTCGCAGATGTTTTCAAAGGTAAAATGTTTAGTTATACAAGTCATCTAAAACATATCAGCCCAGGCGCATTGTAAATACATGCTTCAGCCTAAAATACATTGCTTTGGGTACGTTTCGTTACATGTTTCAGAGGAAAAATCCACTAGAGGGCGCTGTTTACATTTTTGCGAAATTGAAATGCTACTTAGAGAATGTTGTTGTATGTTTTAGATACACGTCATTCTTGTACACATCCACGAGTAAGCAGGGTTTGTCGTTCAGTTCACTTAGCAAACCACTGACCTAAACCATTGGTCACCAAACTTGTTCCTGGAGGGCCAGTGTCAGATTTTAGCTCCAACCCTAATCAATAAGGGTGTCACGATCCTCCAAATCCTCGATTTGATTACATTTTCGATTCTAAAGGCACGATTCGATTCGATTTTCGATTATGAATTATTAATTAATGACCAATTAATTATTAGTAGCCTATCGTTTAAACTACCTGACCTGCATGGTCTTTGTTTTACCCATAAACAAATCATACAGTAAATGAATAAAGGCAAGATACACACATAATTACCACCTGTCAATCACTTTTTCTGCGGGACTCGTGAATAGGCAGTGATCTGTGTCGTTATAATGGCGTCGGTAAAAAAAACGCACAACCAACAGGAACCAGCCAGTATCTGAGGTGTTCGCTAAAATGACTAAGTACAAGTGAGTGAAAGATTGAAGCAGTCCTCTGACTGCCTGGACCTGCTGTCTCGAGCGCATGGCTGTGAGTGCGTCTGTGTCTGTGTGGTCACGTGATGTGCATTTTCAGAGGTAGTGAGGAAGGAGGGCTGCTACACACCACTGTGGATGTCAAATCGTTGTCGTTCTAAAATGCCATTTAAAAACAAAGACCGTGTAAACAGGGCCTGAGTGTGTACTTTTCACGAGCGGATTTGCAACGGGGGCGGGCGGAGGATCGCGATGCCGGTGTTGTCTATCAGACGAACCGTACATAATACGTACATAGCAGAGCTTGCAAAACTGTGTTTTTTTTGTCGACAACACGAACGTTGTCAACATAACTCACTGGAAATCCAAAATGCTTCCACACCGGCGACTTCATTGAAAGAGGAGAGGGTTTAAGCTCTGTCGACGGGTCTCCTGCTTCTGCAGTTTAACAAGCACTTCAACAAGCCTGTTTTTTTCCCGCTTGGCAAGCCAAGCTGACGTGACATGGGGGCGTGGCAGCATCGACGATTCTATTTTTTGATTCGATAATCGAAGTTGAGCATAAATTTTGATCGATTTCGATTAAAAATCTAAATCGTGACACCACTACTAATCAAACACACCTGAACAAGCTAATCAAGGTCTTACTAGGTATACTTGAAACATCCAGGCAGGTGTGTTGAGCCAAGATGGAGCTAAACCCTGCTGGGACACCAGCCCTCCAGGACTAGGATTGGTGACCCCTGACCTAAACCCTACCCTAAACTCAATCAATAATATTTATAAAACACTATAATATAAGGGTAAAGTAAAGTGCGCATCTCTTTTGTGAAACCGCGCTTCACTGGACTCGAACCCGAGCGCTCGGAATTACAAGAATTATGAGTACAATATAAAGTAAACTACTGAGCCAGAAAAGTTGTCCACATGAATAGGTAAAGCAAACATTTTCAATTACAAATCACAGATGTTGTGTAAGTTGGTATTTATTTGGTGTTGTGCAAAGAACTGCACCATATGAATCCTTTATTTGTCAATAATATGTGCCTGTGAAAATAATACATACTGCCCCCTAGTGTTTATTTGACCCAATAGCTGCAGTACGTTTTTCATGTATTTATTCATTTTCCTTTGGCTTAGGGGTGGGCAAGCTCGGTCCTGGAGGGCCGGTGACCTGCACAGTTTAGCTCCAACACTAATCAAACACACCTAAGCATGCTAATCAGTGTCTTCAAGATCACTAGAAATCTATAAGTAGGTGTGTTTGATTAGAGTTGGAGCTAAAATGTGCAGGACACCGGCCCTCCAGGACCGAGTTTGCCCACCCCTGGAGTTCCTTATTTATTAGTAGACACAAACTATTCCAGCATGTGTTTTTCACGCAGTGGATCCCCTTCCAGCCGCAACTCAATATTGGAAAACACCTATACACTCTTGCTTTCACACACTCATACTCTACGGCTAAGTTTGTTTACCCAAATCACTTATAGCGCATGTCTTTGGGCTGTGGGGGAAACCGGAGCACTCGGAGGAAACCCACGCCAACACAGGGAGAACATGCAAACTCCACACAGAAATGGCAACTGGCCCAGCTGGGACTCAAACCAGCGTCCTTCTTACTGTGAGGCGACAGTGCTAACCACTGAGCCATCGTGCCGCCCAGTCATTTTTTTTTTTTTTTGTAGTTTCACAAAGATGTAGGCGGAAGCAAGTATTTTTAATGAGCCTGTGTTGAAGCATGTCTTTACACTGGTGATCAAAAGATTTCATTGTTATTATATTAAGCTTCTTCTGTTCACCAAGGGTAAATTAATGGAATCAACTATGTAGTAAAACTAGTAATTTTGTGATAATTTTGCAGTTTTACAAATCTGTTTTATGTATTTTAAAATGCAATTTATTCTTGTTATGACCAAACTGAATGCTCAGCATCATCACTTCTGTCTTCAGTGTCACATGATCCTGCACAAATCATTTGAATATGCTGATTTAATGTTTAGTTATTATTGCTGCTTAGTAATTAATGATAGCTTTATTGTTATTAATGTTAAAAAGAGTTTTTGATTTGATTTTTGATTCAGTTATTCATATTCCTTCGGCTTACTTCCTGATTTATCAGAGGT